TGAGACTCTGTCTCAAAAAAAATAAAAAACAAAAAAAACCAAAAAAACCCCACAAAATTCCATCCCCATTTCATAAACAAAAATGTATACAGTGGAAGGGGCTAAGAATTACCTCTAGCATATAGACCAGAACACAGAAGAAGTGACTAAGAAATATGTTGTAATATACACTGCACTATTTCCAATCCACCATGAATACCACCAATTAATATAGACTTGTAGGGTTGTTAACAAGTACCAATATAGCAACTAGACAATGTGATATGATGTATTCATATGGAAAAATCCATAGTACATAGGTAGAGAGAATACTGAATCTAAAATTAAAAGACCTAAGTTTGAGAATAGCCTAATAGGTAATAATAAAATCCTCTTATATTTTTAGCCTTTTATCTTTTACAAGGAACTTCCACATACAAGAATTCATCTAGTCAAGTCATAATCCCTCCAGATATCAGTTTCTTCATCTATAAAACAGGAATAAAAATATCTACTATGCTGACCTCATAGGGTTAAACCCATAAAAAAACTAAATAATAAATGTAAATGCAATGTAAGATTTGTAAACACTACTACATATGTATAAATTGTCTAAAGAGAAATTTAAAAAATACTTCAAGACTAGCCTGAGCAAGAGTGAGATGCCTGTCTCTGTAAAACATAGAAAAAATAATCAGCTGGGCATGATGGTGTGAGCCTATAGCCCTAGATACTCTGGAGGCTGAAGCAAGAGGATGGCTTGAGCCCAGGAGTTTGAGGTTGCAGTGAGCCACGATGATGACACTGCACTATAGCCCTGGTAACAGAGTGAGATTCTGTCTCAAAAACAAAAACAAAAACAAAAAATGCATTACTTCTAACCAAGGAATAGTTGACATGGTGCTATGAGTGCAATTCCTATTTCCTAAATAAAATATTTGTCAAATAATGTATAGAGTATCTTGCATATGAAGAGGCAGCAAAATTTCCTCTATCCATTTGAAACATAGAAAACAAACTCTCTTAAATCTATGAGAAGTGATTTCAAAGTTTTTAAAAAATCAAAATATAAATCTGCACACCACATATAACAAGAACAAAAGGGAGCATACTGTATTCCCACCACATTAAAGGGACACGATTAATGGCAGGGCATGGCAGCTCCTACCTGTGATCTCAGCACTTTGAGAGTCTGAGGTGGGAGGGTCACTTGAAATCGGGAGTTTGAGACGAGCCTGGGCAACATAGCAAGACCTATCTCTTCAATTGTTTTTGTTTTGTTTTGTTTTGTTTTAATTAGCCAGGCCGCTTGGAGAACAATTAGTAGGAAAAAAAAAAACCCAGCCAAATATGGTGGCTCACACCTATAGTACGAGCTACCCAGGAGGCTGAGGTGGGAGGATGGCTTGAGCTCAGGATTTCGAGGTAACGGTGAGCAGTTATTGTGCCACTGCACTCCATCCTGGGTGACAGAGTGATACGCTGTGTCTAAACAAAATAAAAATAAATAAATGAAAGGAAAGGATTTTAGGTGTACACATTCATGACACATAGCAGCAAATCTTTAAAGAAATACATGTACCTTTCTCCAGAAGTTATTACTTTTTGAATTAGTGATTTGGTAGATTGCAAAACTATCAGTGAAATGCTTTTTCAATGAAAATTACCAGAGCATAAGCACAGAGAAGATTCTTACAAAACAAATTAACACTAAAATTAAGAATCGGAGAAAGGGGTAGGGGGAAAAAAGAAAAAATCAAGAATAAAACTACTTCTCTAAGACATTTTATAGTTATAAAATTATGTGGGACTTACATGAAGAATCCCACATCTCATTCCTTAAAGGGCAGGTCATATTAAATTTGAGAATATAATCAAGAAGGCTATTTAAAATCCTTTTGACTAATAAGGATTTTTAAGAAAAGGAATAGCCATGTCTTATAAGGTCAGATAAAAGGCAAGTCCTTTACCTCCACCTCTAAATTGTATGATTTAGCTTATATTTTGCCTATACAAACCAAATGTAAGAGGTTTTATCTAGTAAGCAGGTAAGGTATTATCAAATGCTGAACTTTTGGTAACTAACTCTTTAGAATCACCATTTTATTATTTTTTTTTACTTTTTATTTATATCAAGAAAATATGAGAGTACAAACATTTTGGTTGCATTTTATATCTTTGCCTCTCCCTAACAAGGGTTAGAGGTATGCCCTTCCCCTCCACAATGCTCACCACATTCCTCAGATGTGGGTCTACCCCCCAACCCCCAAATCCCTGGTGGACACCACCACCATTTGAGCACCATAGTGTTAATCAGTCAGTACCAATTTGATAGCAAGTACATGTGGAGCCCATTTTTCTGATCTTGTGTCACCTCACTTTGGATAATGGGCTTAAGCTTAAGCCAGGATAATATAAGTGGTTCTAGCTCACTGTCGTTTCTTAGAATAGAGTAATATTCCATCGCTGTCATTTCTTAGAATTGAGTAATACTCCATTGTAAACATATACCAAATTTTAATAATCCACTCATGAAGTGATGAGCACTTGGGTTGTTTCCACATCCTTGCAATAGTGAATTGTGCTGCCATAAACATTCAGGTGCAGATGTCTTTATAATAGAATGTCTTATGCTCTTTTGGGTAGATGCCTAATAATGCTATTGCTGGGTTGAATGGTATTTCTAGTTTTAGCTCTTTGAGGTATCTCCAAATTCTTTTCCACAAAGGTTCAACTAATTTGCAGTCCCACCAGCAGTGTAAGAGTGTTTCTGTCTCTCCAAGAAATCTAATTAAAAATGTGCAGTCTATTTGAACTAAAAAAATATACAGAATTCCAGAAATATATGAATGAAGACTTAAACAAATGAAAAGTTGCCTCTTACTCTTATATAGAAAAACTCAATAAGATAAAGAAGCCATTTATCCTTAAACTCATTTCAGCTTTGTATTTGATTTCATAATGGATTATGTCAGTTTTTTTAAGCTAGCAAGAAGTTTGCAAAGTACACATGGAAGAATAAACACATAAGAATAGCCCAAATCCCTGAGAAACACGATGAACTTGTCTGGTCCTATGATAAATTAAAACACATTATTAAATAAAATATTCCATAATTAAAGCAGTATGGTGTTGATGCAAAAATAGGCAAGCAGATCAGGACAGTAGAAAATTCAGAAATCCAGCAAAGTGGATAAGAGAAGATATGCAATAACTATAGAAGGGGAACCTTTATTAATACTTGCTGTTTGGGAGCTGCATATTCCTAAAAAAGGTGAACATGGATTCATTCTTTACATGCTATAGTAAGATAAATGGCAAAGGAGAAATCTAAATGACAAAAATCAAAACATACAAATAGTAGAAGACAATATTGATAAATCTTTGTATAAGTTGTCATAAATCTGGTATATGACTCAAACCAGAAAATGTTAGTAAAAGATTGATAAAACATACAATAGAAAGCAAGAATACTGTGTATAGCAGGAAGCACCATCAGTCAAATAAAAAGGAAAATGCCAATGGGAATAGCTTTAACAACTTACATAACAGACAAAAGGAAGCACACATCTGTTTGTTCTAGAAAACAAGAAAGCTCTCAAAACATGGTTTCATGGTATAAGGAAAAAGGAGGCAATGTGAATGGTCCCTCACTGCCTAAGATGGGATAATTTGAGCTCAAGAATAAACTTAGATGGCAGTGTATAAAATTCCACCAAAAACACAAAAAATAATGTTAGGAAAATATCACTTACATGTTTTGTTTGTTTGCTGGGGCTGCGCCATCATTATTGTGACAATTGATAAAAGAAAGAATCAAGCTTTTATCTTTCCTTTCCTGATGGGCTAGTTTTTTCTCTCTTTTTTTTGAGGCAGTGTCTTACTTTGTTGCTGGGGCTAGAGTGTCATGGCAGATCTTCCTGCCTCAGCTTCCTGAACAGCTGGGACTATAGGTTCTGACCACCACACCTTTTTTGAAGAAACAGCATCTTGCTATATTGGTCTTGAAATCCTGGCCTCAAGCAATTCTGCCTCAGCCTCCCAAAATGTTACCATGACATGTATTAGCCACCATGCCTGGCCCTAATAGGCTAATTTTTAATATAATGATGAGCTCATGAGAAAATGTAATTCTTAATAGAAGAGTGAGAACTTACATTCAAAGGATACAACAGAATTAAAAAACTGCTATCTGGCACCCCTCAGTAAAATAAATGAAATTACAAAAATACTAATCAAAAAATGCTAAAGAATTATATGAAAGAAACAGGCAGGCATTACTTGAACCCACTAATCAACTTTAATATAAATAAATGTAGAAAAAGCAGATGTGTATCCAAATGTACTTTCTGAATCCAGCTGGGCTGGAAGCTTAAAATACAAAGAGACTTTGAAAGATTTCATACCAAAATCAAAAAAATACTTCATTAATAATATTATATTGATTACATATAGAAACAATATTTTAGATATATTGGTTTAAATAAATTATTACAATCAAATGCACGTGTTTCTTTGCCTTTTCTTTTTATTTATTTATTTATTTTATTTATTTTTTACCTAGAACATTTGTATCTTTGCCTTTTCTTTTATGTTGCCACTAGAAAGTTTAGAATGACACAGGTGGTTCATACTTTATTTCTATTAGGCATTGCAGCCTGAGAGGATCACCACCTTCTTCAAAATTTAGGCTGCCTCTTCAAAAGACCAGAGGCCAGGAAGGTTAGAAAATCTGAAATTTAAAAATAATTTTATTATGTTATTTCCAATTTTGAGTATCATATATGTTATACATAAATGGATATAACCTTATATACAAGGTCAAATGGAAATATCTTCAAGGAAAGGGCAGGTCCCAGCAGAGAGAGGAAGCTCTGGTCACAGCCATGAATGTGTGGGATCCCATCACCTGTCACTCAGGGTCCAAAAGGGTGGGCTTGGGCCTTATCCAATCAGGGGCACCTCTGTGGGAACTGTCCAATCAGGCGAGCAGCGGAAGAGGCGGGGTCTTCTACCATCTTGGCGGGGCCTTTGTCTGTTGCATCAGCCCGCCAAGCTTCCTCTGTGTTCGCCGCTCTTCCGCCATTGCTGTGGGGTTGGGGTGGTTCTGCTGCAGCGTCTGTCCTCTAGGGGTTACTGGAAGATCTCTGTGGAGGATGGCAGAATACCCCAGAAGCCAGGAGCTGGTGAGTATGCAGGCCACGTGTCCTGAGGGGGCGAGGGTAGTTGGAACCCACTGGAAGTGGCTGTGGCGGACCCAGGCCTCCCCGCAGTCAGCTGCGTTGTCTGCGGATCCGAGTCCCGCTGGTACAGCTGGTCCTCAGTCCCCTTCAGCCGAAGAGTAGGGCTGGGCCTGGGCCGGCAGCCAGGACCCCGAGCATCCTCTCCGTCCGCTGAGGCATATTTGGCCTGGCCAGGAGCCTTGCGTGGGCAGGTCTGCGCACCGGCTCGGCGTCTTCCTCCTTGTGCGGTGAGGACGCAGGAGGGTTGTCCTGGGAGGATCCTCACTCGGCATGCGGGGGCTCGTGTGTGGGAGGAGCTATGGTCTGGTGTCCCCAGTCCTCGTCTCATTAAAAACCAGAGGAAATCAGAGAATATTCACTTGACACCCCTTTGTAAAACCTCTTTGTGCCTCTCCTTTTATTTTTCCTAGGCACAGGCATCTTACCAGGAGGTCTTTAGGAAGAGTTTCTTCTCTGGACACTTTACAGGGTTATATGTCCTCAGCCACCCACCTGATTTTTCTGGTCATGGGTTCCACAGCTATCTGAGGATGACCCAGGACACCCACAGTAGCCATGTGTCCTGGAGTGTCTAGTGAATGTCATCATCCCTGGGCCATCTCCTTGCACAGGACAGCCTGAGGTATGGGGCAGGAGCCTCTGGGGAGCAGCTTGCTGGATGCCCTGGGCCTGAGAGAGTCTTCTGGTGTACCTTTAACCTAAAAAGCTAACCTCTTGAGACATTAATATTTTCTCCCAACCCCAGTTTTCATTTCCTAGAGACACATTGGTGGCCAACCAATCAGTTGCTGGTTTTAAGGGGAAAAGACAAAATGATTCTGGTTTTTTTGATTTTTCTCACACTTGAGAGGGATAAAACTATCCCCAAGAATAAGAAAAACCCTCCCCAGTGAGCTGGTACTAGAACCTGCAAAGCAATTTGCACTTCAGGCACTCAGTGTGGTGCAGGAATGGTGAAGCGGCTTCTGGGAGGGTGGTCTTTGAGCACTGTGGTGAGCAGGCTGAGTGTGGGAGTGTGTCCCAAGTGATGGCCAGACTTGACACTTGAGTCACACATGACTGTGTTTCTGTCATCACTGCTCCTCCCTGGGTGTGTCACCTTGAAAGGATTTGTTCACTCATTGCAATTTCGGTTTATCATTAACAGTAAAATGAATTTTGACAGTCCAGCTTGAAAGATAAAAAATACTTTCAAAGAGGCATGAAAGTGGTGGGTTTCAGAAAATAAAAACTACTCATATATTCCATTTGTTAAAAATTATTATTTACCTCTTTTCTTCCCTAGAGTGAGTGTAGTAAGTTTCTCAGGTCTGGTTTTGGGTTTTTTGTTGTTTGTTTTAGCAGAGCTTGAATCTTGCACAGGCTAGAGAGGGCAGTGGCATGATTATATCTCACTGCAGCCCTCACTGACTAGGCTCAAACAATCCTGCCTCAGCCTCCTTAATAGTACAACTTGTAGGTATGTGGCATCATGCTGGATAATTTTTAAAAATTTTTTTGTAGAGACAGATCTCACTGTGTTGCGCAGATTGGTCTCCAACTCCTGGCCTGAAGCAGTTCTCCCACCTTGAACTCCCAAAATGCTAGAATTACAGGTGGGAGCCATCACTCACTCTGGCCTCAGTGTGGTGGCTCATATTTAGAGATATGTCTTATTTGGAGGTAATTTTCAATGGAATTTCAGGACTTTGTTTTGGGAATGCTACTCAGGGAAGAAAATATGAAAAATCTCTTGCATTTTTGTTGCAGAAAAATTAATATGTTTCCACAAGAAAGTGCAGTAGAAAAATTGGTGAATTACAAAGATTTACCAAAGCATCAGTTTCTCTCTTGTGCTCGGTGGAGAATTTGTGACAGTGGATAATTCTGTTCTGTATCCTGTTAGCTGGATGTTGGAGTTTAATGATAAATACTGTGAGATAGGATTTGGCAATTCCTACAAGTGTTCACACATGATTGTTTACAAAATAACTTGTTACCATGAAAATAACAGTTAAATAACCTGTTTATTTTGTGAAATGGCTAGATACTTTTGATTTTCCTGTTGAGGTATAAAATTTAAATGGCTTACAATTTCTGTGATATTAGGATAGATACATTCTTTTTTTTTTGCCCATGGTTTCTGGCTCTCAGCTCCTGTAAGCCTTGGTATTTGCTAAATGACTAAAGCAGCAAGACTTTCTTTTGTTTTTTTTTTTTTTTTGAGACAGAGTCTCGCTTTGTTGCTGCCCAGGCTAGAGTGAGTGCCCTGGCGTCAGCCTAGCTCACAGCAACCTCAAACTCCTGGGCTCAAGCAATCCTGCTGCCTCAGCCTCCCAAGTAGCTGGGACTACAGGCATGCGCCACCATGCCCAGCTAATTTTTTCTATATATATATTAATTGGCCAATTAATTTCTTTCTATTTATGGTAGAGACGGGGTCTCGCTCTTGCTCAGGCTGGTTTCGAACTCCTGACCTCGAGCAATCCGCCCGCCTCAGCCTCCCAGAGTGCTAGGATTACAGGCATGAGCCAGGGCGCCTGGCCCAGACTTTCTTTTCTTTAAATATTTGGTCTTTTGTTCTTGGTTCCTGAAGGAGCTCCCAGATGGTAAAGGTGAAAGGCAGTTTTTTGTTATTTACAAACCTCTCAAACCCATCTTAGCTTTTATGTTCTTCTGTGGTTTGTTTTGCAAAGCCCCTAGAAACTACTGGATGGGAGGCTTGTTGACAAAGGAAGCAGCCATGTGCTTAGAAGGATGGAATTTTTAGTCTCATCCCCAACCTTTGGGCTGAAGGTTAAGTTGATTGAAAATGGCCTATTAAATTAGTTATGCCTATGAAATGAAACTTCAATAAAAATAAAGGACAGAGTTTGGGGAGCTTCCAGACAGCTGGAAGGTGGTGAGCCTAGCAAGGACTTGAAAGCTCTGCACCCCTTCCCCCATATCTTGTCATATGTATCTCCTCTTCTGGCTGTTTGTATATATCTTTTAATATATCTTTCATAATAAACCAGTAAATATAAGTGTTTCCCTGAGTTCTTTCAGGTGGTCTAGAAAATTAATAAAATCTACAAAGGGAGTCATGGAACTGTGGATGGCAAAATCCAAACTCTTTTTGAAATATTTGAAAGAGGTTTATTCTGAGCCAAATTTGAGGACATGGCCCAGAGTCACTCCCAAAAAGCCTTTAGCAAGTGAACTCGCTGTGGTTGAGTTATAGTTTGGTTTTATACATTTCAGAGAGGCAGGGGTTACAAGTAAAGTCATAATTCAGTATGTGGGAGGCATACATTGGTTTGGCCCAAAAGGGTGGGACATCTCCAAGGGGAGGGGGCTTACAGGTTACAGGTGGGTTTAAAGATTCTTTGGCAGACAATTGGCTGAGACAGTTGGGCTTTATCTAAAAGACCAGGAAGGAAGTGCTTAATTTAAGATAAAGGTGTGAGCACTCTGGGAAAGTCCAGACAAGAGAATATTTCAAGTTAAGGTAAGGATCTGCTAAGATGCTTGAGTTAAGATGGGGGGGATTTCTATCTTTTAGGTGTTGCTAATGCTATACTAGAGTCAGGCTGGGAAGTAAACCACACTATATTTGGTTAACAAAACCTGCTTAGTGGGATTTTACCATGTGAGGTTGACTCATCTGGCCACCTTTGGAAGGAATTTTGAGCAAAAGAAAAGATCAGAGTGAAGTCCTCAGAACTGTTATTTGAAGCTGGTTGGTCAGACGTTTTGGAGGTCTGGATTTGCAACTGGTGTCTGAAGTGGGGCAGTTTTGTGGGACTGAGTCCTCATTCTGTGTGATTTGATGCTATCTCCAGGTAGATAGTGTCACAGTTTAACTGTGTTGAACATATTTAGCTGGCGTCTCCTGAAAATTGATTGCTCCTATGGTGTGGTGGTAGGGTGAAATTGCACATTTTTGTCAGAGAAGTCTTCTGTGTTGACTGATGTGGTATGAGAGAAGAGAAAAAACACTTGTGGTTTGAGATTTTTATATATATATATATATATTTTTTTTTTTTTTTTTTTTTTTTTGAGACAGAGTCTCACTCTGTTGCCCTGGCTAGAGTGCCCTGCCATCAGCTTAGCTCACAGCATCCTCAAACTCCTGGGCTCAAGCAATCCTACTGCCTCAGCCTCCCGAGTAGCTGGGACTACAGGAATGTGCCACCATGCCCGGCGAATTTTTTCTATATATTTTTAGTTGGCCAATTAATTTCTTTCTATTTTTAGTAGAGATGGAGTCTCCTTCTTGCTCAGGCTGGTTTCAAACTGCTGACCTTGAGCCATCCGCCCACCTTGGCCTCCCAGAGTGCTAGGATTACAGGCGTGAGCCACTGCATGAGACCTGGTTTGAGATTTTTTTTCCTTCAGAATTTCCTTCCCTTTTATAAACATAAAGTCTGAGTTTAAGTGATGTTGCTGAATTCTTGAAACACTGGGTATTTTCTCATTTACAATTAAATGAATAACCCTGATGGAGAAGCAGAGACATAAGCCCAGTGATTCCAAGCCAAGGCCAATCTTGAATTTGCAAGAGGAGGTCACTGACTTTATTGTAAAGTAGTATTGCAGTATGAGAAAAGCATCAAATATAAGATCTATAAGCTTCTCAATGGTTAGGCAGAAATGGGCTTTCTTTCATAGGCAGAAGTAAATAAGGTTTTAGAAGGTGGTGGGAGGGGGAAGGCAGACTGTGGGTGGTGGCACAATCAGAAACTGATTTACCTTGTATTCATAGTGTTTTTAGAAGGGGCACAGAGAGGGGTTTTCTGCTGGCTAAGGCTGAGGGGGCACCAATTTCAGGGACCTGGCAGAAAGAGAGTAACTTAAGCTGTATTGCCCTAACAAGTATTCTGTTCAGACCAGTGAAAGCAGAATTGTTCATCTAATTCTTTTATGAGGCAGAAATGGAAATATGCAGAGTCCGTGTCTGGCTTTATGTCAGCTAGGCTGACACCACAGCACTCTAGCCAAGGCAATAGAGTGAGACTATCTCAAAGAAAAAAAAGAAACCAAAAGTATATAACCTTAAACTCATATTTAGTGATTAATGTCTTAGTATTATATCTTATTTGGAAATGATCTATATTCAATGGATATTTATCATTTAATTTACCATTGCAAAACTCTAAGAGTATAGTTATCAAAAATATTTGAAAAACATTTTTAAACAACCATATTATGAAATAATTATTATTATAAGTTCATTTATAAACTTCCATTTATGTCTGCTTTATTCATTGTTAATGATTATTTTTGTAAAATCTCATGAGACATAAGAAAAATCCAGCCATCATGTTAAACTTTTTATTATAACCATTTTTATGTTACTGTTAGGCAAGCATTATAAAAGCAATAACCTTAAAGTTAGGTAAATGAGTATTTTGCTGATATGTCAGAAGACATAATTATTATTAAACTAACCATATTAAACTAGTCATATTGATTGAAATGTTTACTCAAGTCATGTGAAATTGGAAAATATTTGGTCTTATTTATTTAATTTATGAGCACTCATTTATCTTTAGGTTAATTAGGTACTATGTAGACAATATACAAACATGTATAAATGTACGCATACATGTAGACACAGTATATAACTTACATTTGTACACTTACATGCATGTAAAAGAAGAGAATGTGGAGTTAAATGTAAAAGAGAGTAGAACTTTAGACCATGGAGGAAGAGTGGTGTGAGACAGTGACTGATTTCAGGGAGGCAGAACTCAGGTGGTGATGCCAGTGATGGGAAGTGGCACCTGCATGAACTTGAGCAAGTCATTTCCTTTCCAGGCCTTTTCCTTTTTCACGGAGGGCCCTTCCACTTCCCTGTCCTTCTAATAGTCATGAACTTCAAACTCTCCGATTTGATGTCCACTCCCTTTAACTGTTTTTACTAAGCTTTCCTATATTCTCCCTTCTGCTAAGAGGGAAATGGAACTGTGAGATGTATTTTCTTTTACAGGGGAAATTTATATGTAGTGTAATTATTCCTAACCTTTATCATACATTTTCAAATGCATCTTTTATCAGACATTCCCATTTATTTTAAGTGTATTCTTTCTCATACATCTTATGGATAATGGATAGAAAATAAACAGATCATATGTAGATATAAATAGATATCTGCTTAGACAATGCTGTTTTCACAGTCATGAACAATGATCACTATTTTCATCTCGTAAACTAACTTAATATAACAAGACTTTACATCTTCAAGTATGTCTGCATTTCAATGATACACATATATATTATGTTTTTAATGAAATTTAATCTTATTTTATTAGAAGTTCAGTACCTATTTTGACATTTGTGATCAACTTCAAGTTGTCTTGTGCTGACTTTATTCAGTTTTTTGTCAGGTGTACTACATCATAGAAACATATTGAAAGCTTTCTACACTTGTATGCTTGGCATCAGTTTCTAGAACCTGGAAATTACATCGTTTTAATGTCTGGTACAAATAGAATATGTATACTCCACTAAAGATCTCTTACTAGTATACTGTGCTTTACAGTCATGACAACTAAGCTTTTCTCTTTTTGGTTATATTAGTATGATATATAGTTTTCATTCATTTTAGTTTGCTTTTAGTGATGTTGTATCTGTGTCCATTGGCTCCTAATATTAATTTGTCCTATTGTAGTTCGTGTTAATTTTATTCACTTGGTTAAGGTTGTCTGTGATAAATTTTTCCACTGTAGAGTTAATTATTTTTCTTTTAACTATTAATAGGTAACTTGTGAGGATTTACCAACTGATGTGCATAAACTATCACATTTAATCTGGAAGCTCCCTTTCTGTTTAGATTTTCTTTGCACATAGCTTACTTTGGAAAATGAAAGCACTCATTTATTTTCTAGTCAGATGAACTGGAGTAAAGCCAGGCTCTGCCATTTACTGGACATTTGAAAGACATTCCTCTTGGGCCAGAAGCATTGACATCACTAGTGTGCTTGTTAGAAATTGAGAAATTCTTTGTATTTTAAAGAATTTCTCAATTTGGACACATTGGGGGGAGGAAGGGGGGCAGGGGCAATATTTGTAACCCTAACAATATTTGTACCTCCATAATATGATGAAATAAATTAAAAAAAAATAAATTGAGAGATTCAAGTTTCACTCCATATCTCCTGAATCAAAATCTGCATTTGAATGATATCTCCAGTTCATTGTTGTACACATTAAAGTTTGAGAGGTACCTTTTGCCTCAGAATGACTTTTCCATCTGAAATATATACACAACTTATCCTGCATGATGTAATGTAGAACTTAAAAATGCAAATGTCTGTTTTGGTGTCTTGAATTTTATACTGTATCATCCAGGAAATTATAGTACCTACACTGGATGTGTTGATCTTATGTCAGTTTCATTCCTCAGAGTTAAGGAATACATTACAGAATATTTTTGTGTTAAAAATTATCTTTTTGAATAATTCCAGTCACTCATATAATTAAGAAACTGTTATATTCCCTCTCTTATTTCACCTGGAGCCAAATTAAGAACTCTTCCCATAGCCACTTTGTAAATATGTGTTTTTCTTTCAGGGACTGTTGACATTCAGGGATGTGGACATAGAATTTTCTCCAGAAGAGTAGGCATGCCTGGGACCTGCTCAGCAGAATTTGTATTGGGATGTGATGTTAGAGAACTACAGAAACCTGGTCTCCCTGGGTGAGGATGACTTCAATACACAATTTCTATTCCACACTAAGGATTTCATATCCTTCCTTTGTAGGAAGTTTTCTGGGAGTTTCTGCTTTATATGAATTAATTTTAGATCTTTGTTTCCAAGGAAATCTTGGGGATTTGTTGTATAGGAAAAATCTTCGAGATGTTTTTATCTTGACTTTTATCTTACTTATTCTTGAGCTGATCTATATCCTTTATTCTAGACTAGTGGTAGTTTCAGAAATTTATTTTAGTTTTGTTTTATTTTGCTTTTGTGACAGTCTTGCTCTGTCATCTTGGCTAGAGTGCAATGGTGTCATCATAGCTTACTGCAACCTCACACTCTTGGGATCAAGCGATCCCCCTGCTTCACCCTCACTAGTTGCTGGGACTACAGGAGTGTGCTACCTACCATGCCTGGCTAATTTTTTTAATTTTAGTAGGGATGGGGTCTCGCTCTTGCTCACGCTGGTCTCAAACTCCTGACCTCAAGCGATTGTCTTACAGAGTGCTAGAATTACAGGCATGAGGCAACACATCTGGCCAAGACCCAGAAATTTTAAATATTTCCTAAATATTCTAAAGTTTCTATCAGGGAATGGTACTTTTTAATTAATTTTTTAAAATGTCATATAATGTTCTCTCTTTTCTACTGAGCACAATACTAGGTTGGTCATTGAAGGATCCTAGGAAGGGTGATGTCATTTTTTTCTCATAAAACAGGTCTTGCTGTCTTTAGGCCAGACCTGAGCACCTGTCTGGAGTAAAGGAAAGGGCTCTGGAATGTGAAGAGACATGAAACTGTAGCAGAACACCCAGGTAGGTGGGACTGAAAGAAGCAGATGACACAGGTGAGGGGACAAGGAGAAAACCAGACTTTAAATTGTTGTTTGGGCAGTTCTGCTCCAATGGAAATGGTTTCTGAGAAGCCTGTGTTTCTTTCTCTTAATCTCAGATATGGCCTTTTTCTTAAGTTATCTAAGAACTTGACTTAGTGATCTTCAGTGATCTTCCTTCACATTTACAGTGAAAGTCAGAGTCCTTTTCATGGCTAATAAGGGACCATAGGATATGACTGCTTGTCAAGAGCTGGGAATATCTGTGTATTTCTGAGGAACTCTATGACAAACTATTTTTTAATTTCCCTTTTTACATCATATCTGAAATGTCTTAGTGTAGAGGCGGTGTTGGTATTTGGTTTAAAAATCCCAGACCACCACAGGCAAATGTTGTGTTTTCTGCTTTATTGTTTCCTATCCTATGGAAGTATTGAATGTGATTTTATAGAAATTCATACTCAATAATGTTATCAGAACACTAAGTATCTCCCTAAATATAATAAAATCTAATGTTATTTTACTTCTAAATTCTGTTTTAGTGTGGACTGTGATTAATAGTAAACTCTACACACCCAAATTCCTCAACTTTAATATAGTTTAATATATCTACTCCCTACATTTCTTAACTATTCTGTGTCATTTGTCACCTTAGAATATTGCTCATCCTGTATTCAACTTCTTTTTTTCCCTCAATTTTAAATAATCTTTACCATCTTCTTTTGTTTCTCAATAACTATCATTTTATAATTTTCTCTTGTTTAATATGAAGCTTACTGGGACTGCGTCATTCATATATATGTATATATGTCTGTGATATGGACTTTCTTCACAAATAAAAGTTGTATAACTATATAATTATTGTATACAATGTGATGACTTGATATGTGTGTACATTGTGAAATGATTAGTACATTCAAGTTAATGGACATATCTAACACTTCACAGTTACCTTTTTTGGTAGTCAGAACACTTAAGGTCTACTGTCATAGCATATTTTTAAGATAAAAACCATTATTATTAGCTATAGTCACAATGCTATACAAAACTTATTCATCATATTATATAAATGAATGTTTGTACCTTTTGAACAATATCTCCTCATTTTCCCCACCTCAGGCCCTATGAATACAACCTTTTTAGATTCCCCATATAAGGGAGATCATGCAGTATTTGTCTTTCTGTACCTGACTTATTTCAGCTAGTGTAATGTCCTCCCCATCCATCTATGTTGTTGAAATGGTTGAATAATTTTTTTTTTTTTTTTTGAGACAGAGTCTCACTTTTTGTTGCCCTGGCTAGAGTGAGTGCCGTGGCGTCAGCCTAGCTCACAGCAACCTCAAACTCCTGGGCTCAAGCGATCCTCCTGCCTCAGCCTCCCAAGTAGTTGGGACTACAGGCATGCACCACCATGCCCGGCTAATTTTTTGTATATATATTTTTAGTTGGTCAATTAATTTCTTTCTATTTTTAGTAGAGACGAGGTCTCGCTCAGGATGGTTTCGAACTCCCAACCTCGAGCAATCCGCCCGCCTTGGCCTCCCAGAGTGCTAGGATTACAGGCGTGAGCCACCGTGCCCGGCCTTTGAATAATATTTTTATAACCAAATAATATTCTATTGGGTATATAAACCACATTTTCTTTGTCCATTCAGCATTCACAAACATTTCATTTATTGGCAATTTTGAATAATTTAGCAATGAACTTGGGAGTGCATGTATTTATTTGAGATACTGATTTTATTTTATTTTTTATTATATACACACAAGTTGAATTGTATGGTAATTCTATTTTTTTTTATTTATTTTTTAAAGATCCTTCACACTTGCTTTATAAATGAATCTAGCAATTTACAACTCAACAACAGTGATTTCTTTTTCTTCACAATATTGTCAAAACTTGTTTTCTTTTTTATATTAGCCATCCTAACAAGTGTGAATGGAGTGATATCTCATCATGATTTTGATTTGTAAATCCCTGATAATTGGTGATGTTGAGCACCTTTTCATATACCTGTTGGCCACTTGTATGTCTTCATTGGGAAAATATCAGTTCAGTCTTAGGCCTATTTTTCAATCAGTTATTACAGTCATTATTATTATTGTTTTTGCCTTTGATTTATGTTTCTTATATAATTAGGATATTAACCCTTTGCACTCGGATGTCGAGTGTGATTTGACACGGTTAGCAAAAATTATAGAGATTAAAATTACTCTTTGAATGTATTAATAATTTGAAATATAAAAAAATCCAAATAAATAAGTTTGTATGAAAAGAAACTCCAGTTTTTTATTCTACTGCCACACTTCGTAAAATCTGGGGTATTTAAAAAATTAAATCCCAAATAGAATAAAGGAATCAAGAAAAAAGCAAGTGAGTGCAAAGGGTTAACCTCTTATCAGACAGGTGGTTTGCAAATGTATTCTCCCATCCTATAAATACTTTATTGTTTTCTGTGTAAAAGCATTTTAATTTGATGGAGTTCAACTTATTTATATTTCTTTTTGTTTTTATACTTTTGGGGTCATGCAAAAAATCCACTACCAATATCAATATCCAAAAGGTTTTTCATACGTTTTCTTTTCAGATTCTCAAGGGTTCATATCTTACACAAACCTTTATTTTATTTTGTGTTAATTTGGGGGTATGGTATAAGAAAAATGGTCCAATTTTATTCTTTTGATTGTGGATATCCAGTTTTTCTATCACCAATTATTGGAGAGACTATACTTTCTGCATTGTGTATTCTTGTTGTGTCTGTCAAAGATTAGTTGACCTTGTAAGCATGGGTTGATTTTTGGGCTCTCTATTCTGTTCCATTGGTGTTGTGTCATTTTTAATATATATACCATTCTCTTTTTATTGCTATAGTTTTAAAATATAGTTCAAAATCAGAAAATACGATGCTTTCAGCTTTATTTTTCCTCAAGATTACTTCAGCTATTCAAAGTCTGTTGTAGTTGGGCCAGGCATGGTGGCTCAATGCCTGTAATCCTAGTACTCTGGGAGGCTGAGGCGAGAGATCTCTTGAGGTCATGAGTTCCAGACCAGCCTGAGCAAAAGTGAGACCCCATCTCTACTAAAAAATAGAAAAGATTAGCCAGACACGACTGAAAATATTAATAGAAAAAAAAAAATAGCCGGGCATGGTGGTGCATGCCTATAGTCCCAGCTACTTAGACTGAGGCAGGAGGATCGCTTGAGCCCAGGAGTTTGAGGATGCTGTGAGATAGGCTGATGCCATGATACTCTAGCCTGGGCAACAGAGGAAGACTCTTTCTCAAAAAAAAAGAATAAACAAATAGAAAGGGAAAAAAAAGAAAACAAAGTCTATTGTAGTTCCATAAAAATTTTAACATTGTGTTTTTTATATTTGTAGAAAATGCCATTAAAATTTTGATGAGGAGTTGATTGAATCTATAGAACACATTGGATGATATGGCATTTTAAAAGTATTTATTCTTCCAATCCATAAACATGGGATATTTTTACATTTATTTGTGCCTTCTTCAATTTTTCTCATCAATATTTTGTATTCTTTCAGTGCAAAGGGCTTTCATCCTGGTAAAATTTATTTATAAAAATTAATATTTTGATATTGTACATGAGATTTTTTTATTTGTTAATATATGGATTCACTGATATTTATATGTTAATTTAATATTTTGCTCATCTGCACTTCATCTGAGTGCATATTTTAGTTTAAACAGTTTTTTCATGTACTATTTATAGTGACAATTTTACTTTTTTTATTTGGACAGCTTTTTTTTTCCTTTCCTAATAGTTCTGCCTACTATTTCCAATACTATGTTAAAATAGAGGCATTGAAAATGGGTATAACATAAACTTACATTGTTATCTGCGTATTTGAAGGAGCACACACCTCTTCTAGTTTTTATAAGCCAGTTTCAGCAGGTAAAGATCTTCATTTTGGGGTACCAGGCTTATGGGATCTCCTCTGGATTTGCAGATCAGAGGGGTTGTAACTGCATTACAAGTCTGCTGCTGGATATGCAGTTAGGTCTGCCTTTAGTGTGGGCCTGTTGCCAGGGGGTTGGGTAGTTGTGAATTCTGTCTTATTCATAAGCAGACTGGATCACATTCATGACTTTGATCTGTAGGACAGGGTCTTGCAGTTGGGTCTGCATAGGGTGGGCCTGATATCAGGTATATGGATAAGTGTGGCTTCCACTGAGAAGTTTTCTCCATTTCACTGCATAGGTCCTTGGGTGGGCAGAATTGGGCAATAACTGTGTCTAAGAGGGCTGGAACTGGGTCACAGAACTGCTTCAGAGACCACAGTGAGTACCAAGTTGTGTAGGCTTGTCTCCATGACTACAAATGGGCAAATGGGACTTCTCCCCAGGTCTCTTGATAGGCAAGACTACCACCAAATTATGGCTGGGAGAAGTTGGAGATGCCTACATGGTCACTTCAGAATTCTCAGTTGGACCAAGTTGACTGGGCCATTTCCTGGTCTGTAGCCAAGAACAGGGGTCCTCAGTTAGGGCCTGTCTTCTTAAAATTACTCTCCTTGTTTATGGCTTTAGCAGCTTTGGAATCCTCCTCCCTGTATCCCGAAGCTCTCATAAAAGCACCTTTTTTTAGACTGGGGTGATCTTCTTACCTCAGCCTCTTAGTAGCTAAAAGTACCAGCATGAGCCACTGTGCTGGGCTGTCATAAAGGCTCTTTTTTCCATATATGGCTGCAAAATGTTTGTTGCTGTGAGGATATAAAGAAGCAAGGGACTTCATATTCCACCATCTTGCTACTTTCACATTCTCTATTTTCACTTTGTTTTGTTCTAAATTAAATTTTTTGTAATTTTAGATTCAGATATTCAGAACAATATACTAAAATTTCATATCATGAAAAGTAAATTAGATAATTAGTAAGCATCCCATATTTACTAAAAGATTCACTTGAAAGTTTAAGTTTACTATAGGCAAAAAGGGATCATTAGAATTGTCATCTACTTTCCTTAATTTTTCAGTTGCTAGTGGCTCCCTCTGGTATTTTTCCTAAGTTTGTAAGTGAGCTCTCTGCCAGATAATAATCTTTAGTCCTGGGGATCAATAATTCTTTCCTACTTGGATAGTTATTATTTCTTA